GAGGGGGTAGGTGAAGCGAAAACGGCAGGCGGCGCCTTTAATCAGCCGCGGCGGGTTCAGCCCACCCGGCACTGCGAAATAAACGGGCCAGGGGGAGGGGAAGAGGCGGGGCGTATTTTCCGGAAGTGCTGTTACAGCTGCCGAGGCTCTAGGTCCCGCCCCTTTGCCCCGTCTGGAGTTGGGGCTGTTCCTGCTATTGGGCGCTAAGCTGAGGCTCCGCCTCTCTAAGGCGGGGCAAACCTGACAGCCTCACGTGACTGGCGCTTACTTGGTACCTAAAACATTAGGGTGGCGAGGAGTTCTGCGCTTCTTAAATGGGCGATGCTGCTGCTGTGTCGTGGGACCACCTCTTCCTTGGACCTCTGCACCCGTAACTCTTTACTTGAGAGCGAAAGGCGTGATTGTGTCCGTCAGTCTGCTCTTCAGTTCAATGGAACTGAGCAGAGAATTGCCAAGGTTCAGTGTGGAGCAATTTCCCAACGCTAATAGTTTTCTACACATTCCTGACACTTAAAACTACGAACCAAGATAGGGAGACTTAAATAACTGAAATAATCTGCCAAGGTCAACTGGTTGGTGAATAAAGAGTAGCAAAAGATTTTATGTGTTGAGCATTTTCCTGGCCCTGGGGATTCCCTGCAAAATGTACACTTTTATATATATATACTGACATTTGAACTGAGACCTGAGTGACCAGGAGAACCAGGCAAGTGACAACCTGTGGGAAGAGAGCTCCAGCCAGAAGGAAAAACAACTGCCGAAGCAATAGAATTGGCATGTCCTGGGCCAGAAAGAAGGCAGTGTGGCAAGACAGACAGGTAGGAGCCAGAACACAGGGCCTTGCTGGTCATGGTAAGGAGTTTGGACTTTAAGCTGGTTGTGAAAGGCTGTCAGATCTGGTATATATTTTAGATATAGAGCCAAGAGGATTTAGTGATTGATACCGGGTAGAAAGAAATCAACATGAAATAGGGCCGTAGGTATGGGTTCAAGATGTACTTATCATGATATATACTATATCTTTCTGCACCTTAAAAACACCACAAGTACTCTATCCTCCAAAAATATTTCAATAATTCATAGGACTTGGGCCTTAACTAGGCTGGATAGTGGTGCTATTTGCTGAGAAGGGGAGAATTGGGGGCCAGCAGATGGTGTAGTGGTTAAGGCGCTAGACTCCCACTTGTCTGACCGCTGTTCAAGTCCCGAACCCAGTGGTTTGAAACTCATACCACGTGCATACGTGTGTGCACTCAAAATCCCAAGAGGAGAATGGAAGAGAAGGAAGGGACTGTGGCGTGGTCATTCACCCTGGAGAATGATTTCTCACTTTCTCTCTT